GGCAGTGATGATTGCCTCATTAATTGGTCCCTCTTAATTCATGCCTGTTGCATCAAGATGGGTGCTGATGCCGGGCCATAAACGTGGAAGAAAAGGGAGCCTTTGGAACAGGATTGCATGAATGGGCTTTTAAGCAGACCTGTCACAGTTAATATCGTTTGAGGGCTTTCAGTTTCCATGGCGACCTGACAACCTAGCTGCGCAGTTGACACTGCGCTAAATCACTCTTCAATAAAAGCTCTTTCCTCCCATCCACCCCCCTTCACACATTTCCTCCTTGACATACAACCTGGGACATCCATATGTCTTTGAGACATGCTTGTGAGTTGTTGCTTGTTGGTTTTTGTTTCTGCTGTTGTTTTTTTAAATTGTTCTATTTTGATGTTGGGGAGGAGCATGTGCAAATTACCCATCTTATCATTGAGAAAGGGGGACCCAATTCATTATCCCTTGTATTCTTTACACAGGAAAAGGAAGTCAAGCACTGGTTAGGCCTTATCTAGAGTACTAGTGTCCAGTTCTGGACACCCCACTTTAAGAAGGATGTCAACAAACTGGAGCAATATCTTCTCAAAGGCTTTCACAGCCGGGATATGATGGTTGTTGTGAGTTTTTCGGGTTCTTTGGCCGTGTTCTGAAGGTTGTTCTCCACATGCTCTGTGGAGCATGGACAGAGTTCCCACTCCGGTCCTCTGAAGATGCCGGCCACAGAGACCGGCGAAACATCAGGAAGAACAACCATCAGAACACGGCCAAAGAGCCCGAAAAACCCACAACAATCATCAAACTGGAGCAACTTCAGTGGTGAGCAGTAAGGATGACCAGGGGGCTGGAAGCCAAGCCCTATGAGGAAAGACTGAACTGGGCATGTTTAGCCTTGAGAAAAGAAGACGAAGCACTATGATAGCACTTTTCAAAGACTTGATAGTCATAGGGAAGAGGGGCAGCACCTGTTCTTGTTCATTCCAAAGTGTAGGACACATAATAATGGGCTCAAGTTACAGGAAGCCAGATTCAGGCTGAATATCAAGGGAAACTTGTTAGAGCAGTACTACAGGAATGGAGCCAATGGCCTTGTGAGGTGCTAAGCACTCCAACGCTGAAGGCATTCAAGAGAAAATTGGACAGCCATCTGTCAGATCTGTTTGGATTGGGATTCCTGTATTGAGCAGGGAGTTGGACTCAAATGGCCTTATTGGTCCCTTCCAACCCAATTATTCTATGATCCTACGAAAGGTGGGTTTTGATACCTAGGCAAGCCAGTCAAAGCTGCTGGTCACCATCTTCAAGATGCAGCTTTTTATTAATTGTTTCCCATCACTCTCCAATGTGTGAGCAAAGCAGAATCTCATGCAGGAATAGAAATGGCTCCATGCATGTGGCTCTTCTCTGTGACCCCCATAATCCCCTTGTGACTGTCTGAACGAAACCTTTGATGGCATAAATCACAAACTGGTTAAAAACAGCCAGTGCAAGTAGACTTCCGCAGTTCTGAGAAGAATTCTTTTCAGACTACAGTTTCCAGAATCTGCTAAGAGTTATGCTGGATGTAGGATTCCGAAAGTCACAGGGCAAACAATTAACTTTTCTGAGATCTGTACTTCCAAAAATGTGCTACAGAAAAATTACACATGCCAGCACAGTAATTATACATTGTACATTCTGATCCTATAAAAGATGTATCTAATCGACAAGTCATTCTCAGGGAATCCAGAGGTTCCTTTCTGGCAAGATGAGTAAAGGTGCACAAAGTTCAATTAAAGTTGTTCCTTTCTATTATTTTCCTGCAACGTAAAGCCGTGGGCAAGGATTGATCAGTGACACTGTATTACAGTGGACCCTCGACTTACAGATGGCTCCACTTACAGACTTTTCAAGTTACAGACTTCTCTGGCTGCAAAATTTAGGTTTGACTTGCAGCCAGAGAATCGACATACAGACTGGGAAAAAAATGGAACAAAAACGGCTGGTTACAGATTACAGTAATCGGTTTTCAATGCATTGTAGGTCAATGGAGCCTTGACCTACAGACTTTTCGACCTGCAGCCACCGTTCCAATATGGATTAATTCTGTAAATCGAGGGTCCACTGTATTGTAAGCAACACTACCATCCGTCTACGATGTAGCCTGTGAATGCTATCTGGCAACGCTGGGAGAGGGCTATTGCTTGTATGTCCTGACTGTTGGAACATAAGACTATTAGCCTTCTTCCAGTGTTGTCAGATAATATCCTGGATGGTATGTCAGCACATCATTAGAAACAGAGCTTACTGAAGGGATAAATGATGTCTGACTATCCTGCCATGAGCTTGCCTCATTCCATATTTTACAAATACAGTAGCTTATTGATTGTGATTGACTGTCCAAAAGCAACATTTAAAAAAATGTGAGGTGGGCGTTGAGGGTGAAGCAACATTTAAAAAAATGTGAGGTGGGTGTTGAGGGTGGGCCCACAGAGACTCGACAACACAACTTGGACAAAAGGGTCTGGGTCCCTCCAGAAACCCCTGAGTTGCTGATATGACTTGAGTTGTACATTCCCCATTGAGCCCTATGGGTCCTTTGCAAGGTAACAAAGGCAGGTACATTTGCTTCTGCCATACCACTTTTTAAAATGACACAATTATCATAATATTTATTCACATCAAAGTCTCACTGAACTCTGTGGAGCATATGTAAAAGGTACTTAAGGGCTACTGAATTAGTCTTTAAAGGGCCACCAGATTCCATTGTTGTCTTCCATAAAATATTGGGAAGACAGCAAACAAAATTCTTCCAAAGGTGGTAATAGTTGAGCTTTCTTTTTTGAAGACCATCTTCACTATTTAGGGCAAAGAAGAAGTAGTGTGTGTCTACATTTGAACAGCAGTGTGTTGATGGACACAGAGGGGACTAATTAGACAAATGAGAGCCAGGAAAACAGGAAACAATTGAGGCAGGCTAGCTGATCCTAGGCTTGTTGAGCTGTCAAGAAGTTACATGCTTGCTTTCTTACTTCTCTCTTCTTCTGTGCATTCTAGATTCTTTTTATTTTGAATTTTTAGCTCCTCTTTGACAGTGATTCACCAGAGGATTCTGTTTTGAGTGACAGCTTCCCAGTTAACGCGGTCAATATTAAAATCTTTCAATGCTGTCTTCAGTGTATCCTTGAATTGTTCGTCTTGTCCATCACGCACCTGCAACAAGGACTCCATAGAAGTTACATTTTGGGAGATGGTTATCCAACATCCTGACAACGTGATTGGTTTATTGAAGTTGCCCTTGTTGCCCATCTGTGTTTGTTTCAAGGCTTTAGGATTGGAGGATGATGGATACGGTAGCTCCGTGGTTTCATTATCTGGCTGTGGAGCTGGAAGTTAAGGGGTTCAATTCCCCACTGGGCCTCCTTGGCAGGAGCTGGACTTAATTATCCACAGGTTCCCTTCTAGCTCTGCAGTTCTAAGATTAATATTGAGTAAACGTCAGTCTAGATGGACAGGGTATAAATTAAATAAATAAAGATTTAACATTGAGAACTCTCAGAAGACAGCTAAGATGAAAGTGATCGAGCCTTCTAACATGGCAAGTCTCTGCTCCATAAAATAGAGAGGTTACAAGAACGGCTTTGTACTGCACATCCTCAACAGAAAGATGGATTCTGTGTTAGTGATCTCTGCTGAAGGCCTTGCTAGCTTTGGAGATTCATAAGCTTGCTTCACGGAGAAAGCAGGAGATGGTGCTGCCATTGTAACACTTTTAAGTTCTACGGGGCTATGTGCTTACTCAGACATCTCTTGATGAACTCTGCAAACACAAATTCTCAAAACCAGTCTTTCTTATTCACAGTTATATAACAGATACCATGAGCAATTATAACAAAATGCTATAATTTGTTCTCCTAGGCGACAGCACTAACACAGAGGTTGCTTGTAGAATAGCAAAGTTCAAGTTGTCCCTTTGAATTTGAATTCAGGTAAAAATTTAAGACATCTTCTTCAACTGGGCTGAGTGTCAAACATCTAAAAGAATAAGCTCCACATGCGGAGTCTTCAAAATCCTAAAAAAAAAAAGAAAAAGAAAAAAAAGGTCAGTTCAATAGTATGCAATTCATGAATTCACTATGTGGATTCATATTTTCAACACAAAAGTAGAAATTATACCTAGACCAAGTTGGCAAGGGCCTAAAGAAGTTTTAAGTGGCAACAGCAAATCTGGCCTCTTCAGCTCTTTCTGATTCAAGTCTCTTACTCACAGTGTCACTCTCTTTGTCCCACTCCTTTGGGCTGAACCAATATTTCAAAGGGTTACACCAAGATACGTGAACTTGTCCATAGCAGTAAAGGTGGTATGTGCTGCACAATAGTAACATTGACTGATTGATTTAAAATATTTGTACCCCACCTTGCTCCTTAAAAAGGACCCAAAGTGGCATATGCCATTAAAAACACTATTTAGAAGCAAAAACAGTAAGTATACACATATTTTTAAAAAATGAAACACATTTACAAGCAACGACATTTTAAAAGAGCAGTCTCTGCCCCTGTTGTTGCTTTTTTAAGCACACGGTTGAGGAGGAAAACTGGACTATTAAAAAGGTGGTCCAAAAACGATGTTTTATGCAAGGTAGAAAGCTCCCATTCCCGACTGCCAGTTTTGACCATTATTCTGAAGCGACAGCCAATAGAAAGAAGAATTGCTTGGCAAGCCAGCCAATCAGAGAACAGCACCGGGCATCCACTGGCGCGGGAAAAATAGTAGAAACTGCAGCTTGGGGCCGTGATGCGAAGGCGAGATTTTCATTCGCTGGATGGCGGGTAGTGGGCGGGGACATCCTTCCCTCCGACCAATAGCTGACATCGCTACTGAAAAGCGGAGGTCTTTAGAGGAGGAGGAGGAGGAGGAGGAGGAGAGATGAGTGGGCGGGGTTTTGGTCTTAATTCCCAACCAATGACAGGTAGCTTTACGTTGACCCCCGCCTGAGCGCGCGAAGAAAAGCCAAGGCTTTCATACGGGGAAAAGCGAGCGGTGGGCGGGGCTTGCTCCCCAACCAATGGGAGGGCGTCTTCCCTCAGGTGGGAAGAATTCTCCGCGTCGAGGCGGCGGCCTTCGAATTTTCTTGCCTCAGGGAGACCTCGGCGTCGTTGCTCGAAGGCGGCTGGTTTTGGGGCCTCCTTTCCGTCCTCGCCTCGCTTCTCTTTTCCAATGGACGCTGCCGAGGTCGAATTCTTGGCCGAGCAGGAGCTGGTCACCATTATCCCCAACTTCAGCCTGGACCGGATTTACCTCATCGGGGTGGGTCGGCGTTGAGGCCAGGACTTCGGGTGCGGGGATGGGGACGACGACGGCGGCGGCAGCAACAGCAGCCGAGGGGGGGGTCTCATTGAGAAAGGGAGTTAGTGAGAGGAATAATTTTGGGATACTTTAGCGCTCCCGGCCCCGTTTCGTGTTCCTCAGTTTTCTGGACTACAGCCCCCATCATCCTGAGCCAGTACGGTCTCACCGTGGTGGGATATGTAGTCGCAGCATATCTGGAGGACGGCAGATGGGGAACGGCTGGCCTGGGAGGTGCGTGAGGTCTGTCTGCCATGACGGTCTGCCTGAGGATAATGGGAGGTGTAGTCGGCGCCGTCTGGTTGAGGAGACCTAATTTGGGGTCTAAATTTGTATTTTAATTGAATTTCAATGGTTGTAAGCCGCCCAGAGATCTTTGGGTAGAGTGGGAGGCATATAAGTTAAATAAATAAATGTCTCACGCACAGGGGAATTTCGAGATTGTTTAGGCCCTTTTGAGGGACCATTTATGTTTACGTAAGTGTAGAGTTACTACAGTACGGGAATTTCGAGATTGTTTAGGCCCTTTTGCGGGACCATTTATGTTTACGTAAGTGTTGAGTTACTACAGTACTTTTAAGGAGCAAGGCAGGGTAAAAATATTTTAAAGAAAGAAATACTCAGTTTATTCATTTGGTCTTCTCTTGATTGGGTCTAGTATTAAGATACTGACTAATGTAATTTGCATCTTATGCCAGCAAGTATCCAGAGCGGCTCATGGAAGAGAAAAGGTTTAAATGCATTAAAAGGAGAGAGACTGTGAATCTTTAATTCTGTCTATTTTGTTTGATTTTATCAATATCCAGAAACTATGTATTTTAAATATATATATAGTTATCTAAACTGTTTATATCCTGTATTTTTGTGATGCAGTGCCCAAGGCAGTTCAGAAGAGGAGAGAATCAGACAAAAGTATTTCCTCTGTAATATTAACATAATACAGCAGCAGTGAAGAATTAACAAAATGAGAATGGGAATGTTTAAACATGTTTAGTTCCTCTCCTTTTAATGAGTTTAAACATTTTCTCCTTAGAATTAAAAAGAGGAAGAATCTAGTTTCTTGAGGCATCTTTATGGTTACATAAAGGTTTAAGCAAAGAACCCACAGTATCAGTTTGCATACAAATGTCTATTGGGTGGGTGCATATCTGGATTACAAACATTGCATTGCTGCAATTGGTTATGTTGATCACCTGTTTGGAAACTAATAGAGTAAATGTATTGTAGTATGTGTAATTTTAATAAATTAAAAGTAAACAATAAAGCTTATTTAAATTAATGAAATTTCCAAGTCCTTATTAATCTTATTTAAAGACTGGAAAGAAACCATCCAGATACAGAATAAGGTATTGTGTGTACAGTATTTAAAAGATTGTGTTTGGTTACCTCATCTTCAGTAACCTGTGCAGTTTGCACATAGAAACAGACTTCTATGAAGTCCCCTTCTGTGTAAATAACATGCTTGAGCCCTTTGAGTCCACAAAACCTTTTGAACTGAAAGGGTAGTCCATAATTAAATTATTCAGCATGTGTGTGAGATCACTGGTTCAGTATCCACCCGAATTTCAAGGAACTTGGGTAGTAAGACAAAGCTCTTCACCTGAGAATCATTACTAGTTGCAACAGAAAGTACTGAGTACTGTAAATAGATCATTCTCTGATCTAATATAAGACAAATTGCTTTATTTGCTTTCAGCCATATCTCCTGAAACATTTTTACACCATATAGAATTTTTCCTTCATTTAAATTATAAGATGTTACAGAACAAATTTCCTAAACTGCAAACAACTTAATCAGTTCTCTTCACAGTAGAAGAAAGAGAAAAACTAAAAATGCATGTAGGAAATTTAAATTTTTTAAAAAATTATGTGTTTTCTCTCCCCCCCCCCATGATAGAACATGAGCTTTGCATATAGAGAATCCAAGCTTTAGTTCAGGCATTTCTAAGTAAGATTGAGAAAGACTTTGACCTGAAACTAGATCCAAATGTTTTGGGTCAGTGCTTGAGTTGGATGCACCAATTGTATGAGGAAGCTCATGTATTTTCATTGCAAATCTGTTTTCTAGGGTGACTTGGGTCCCTTTAATCCTGGGCTGCCTGTGGAAGTACCTCTCTGGCTAGCTATCAGCCTAAAACAGAGGCAGAAATGTCGACTGATGCCTCCAGAATGGATGGATATAGGTAAGGAAGAACTTAATACCCTAAAATAACATTTGTCATTGAGTTTGTAGGAGTTTGGTCTCTTCTGTTACGGTTGTGAGGCTTGTTAGTGGGGAACTAATATTATACAGTAGTTGCTTTTTAAATAGATCTAATTGGATACCTGTGTTTTTTAACACACAACACATACAAAACACATGCAGGGAAGTGTTTACCATACTACAATACAGTATCTAATATATAATCTTGACTGCATAACTGTATTATAGTACAAAAATCTTTAACCTATTTCATATTCTCTATTCTTTCTCTCTATATATAAAGTCAAGACTTTCTAATATTATCTATCTATCTATCTATCTATCTATCTATCTATCTATCTATCTATCTATCTATCTATCTATCTATCTATCAAATCCACAATTTCTTGTACTGTATTCAACAGGAGCATTTCTAGTTGAATATATACCTATAGAGTGGTGCCCCGCTAGACGCTTACCCCGCATGACGTTGAAATCACTTAACAATGACATTTTTGCGATCGCTATTGCGATCGCAAAACGGTGGTTTCAGTGGGGGGAATCCGCATTACGTTGATTAGGAGCCTGCTTTGCGAGCTGTTTGTTCGCTATACGATGATTTTTCCGGTTCCGCAAAATGGCTTCCCTCCCTTCGCAAAATGGCTGCTTTCAGAAGATAGTAATTTTTAACAGTTGATTGGCGGTTCTCTATGGGCAGTCTTCACTGGACGATGAGGTATTTCCCCATTGGAACGCATTGACCGGTTTTCAATGTATTCCAATTTTTTTTTTTTGGTTGACGACGATTTCGCTTAACAGTAATTTTCCTGGAACGGATTATTGTCGTCAAGTGGGGCACCACTGTATATTCAAGTTATATATACCTGTAGGTTTTTTTACATAATATATTTTTAAACTATCTCCAAAATCGTTTTACTCTGTCACTTATCCACCACCTATACAAAAGAGACTGCAATGTTGCTGACAATATTTTAACCCTCTTAACACCCATTTTGCCAGTTTTAGTGCCATCTATAGAACATCTTTAAAACATTTTCTCTCAGATTTACTGACAAACCTACAGTTCAATGCATTCCAATGGGGGGGGGAATTCACCAAAAATTAATGAAGACTCAGAACAAAGCCAAATTAAGTTTGCAAAGGTTTTACAAGGTGCACTAACGATTCCAAGCATTTTAAACAGTTTTTGAACATTTTAAGACACTTTACAAATAGCGAAAACGGACTGGTCAAAAACCATTGAAATGCACTGAAATCTATTCAATGCATTCCAATGGGGGAACCGCGTTTCACTTAGCGATGTTTCCTATGGCAATTTTCGTTTAAGGACGGTAATCCATTCCCATTGGAACGGATTATCCAGTTTTCAATGCATTCCTATGGGAAATGGTGTTTCGCTTAGCGATGTTTTCCCATAGTGATGTTTTTTTGGAACCAATTAACATCGCTAAGCGAGGCACCACTGTATATACTTCTTAAAAGAATCTTCCATTATAAGTTTTGATGGACTAAGAGCTGTTCTTTCTGCTTCTTGAATATAGATTTATTGTAGAACAGTTTCCGCTGAGAAGTAAAAGAATTCAGCTTTTAAGAGATTCAAATATTTTACTACTGCTTCTTATAATCCAGCAGGCCCATTTCTGATTCTGTTTTCTATCCTATTTGCCAAGTCCGGCTCCCCCCCTTCCTGTACTCCCAATTCAGTTAAGAGCCATAAAACAGTCAACCTATTAATCAGTCCATCTTTGTATTAAATGAGTCAGTCCAGACCCTAACTCCCACTTAGCACATCTAATTGTAAATCCAACTTTAGCCAGGAGCAGTTTTAATTTATAATCCACCATTTGCAGCTCGCAGCAAGGCCACTTGGGGTGGGTTTTCCCCCTTTTTATCTGTCAATACCAGAATTCTCTCCAAGTGCCTCTATTAAGCCATCTCTTTAAGAACTCCAATCGTCTTAAACCTCTAATTTTATAATAGTCTATGCCATTGAGGGAGGATGGGATGCTAAAGTGATCTCCGTGTCTTTTAAGTAGTTTCTCTTTCTCTCAAGTGTGACACAGTTAGGAATTTGCTGATGTTACGGGGATACAATTGCTACTTTGTTGCTTTTGTTTATTTCTTCTCTACTTTAAAGTCAGCAGCTTGAATTTGATTTATGCTTGCTGATGCTAAATAAAAGGCCAGTTACTCACTGTTCATGTAATCAGGCAAAAATCTTCTTCACACGCTTCCCACCTTGGCAAAGTTAGGCAGCTAATTCACCAGACATGGCGTCTCCCGAGCCAGATACTTTGAGAAAGGAAACTCTCAAGATTTGCTGTCTGAATTTGGAGTTTTTCCAGCTCTGTCACTGCAAGCCCACTCTCCTGTGGAACTTGCCCCCCCTTCCACTGCTGGGGGGGTGTCTGCTGACCTGGAGTTTACACAGGGGTTCACAGAGCCTTGTGGATTACTCTGCTCTTGCTGCCGTTGCTCCGCCCACAGGGGATTACATATGTTTTTAAAAGTTTTAAAAGTTCAGAGTAGAGATGGGGTTATACAGATACGAATATCCCTGCAGAGGTGGCGTTAACAAGGGTCTAGCCCCATGGGGCAGGATGGTCCACTCACCAATCCACCATGGATGTAGATGGCGCGATTCCACAAATGGCTCTGCAGCGCGTGATCTGCTCACCTCTCTTTGACCTTGGAGTGAGGCTTGTCCTCCTGCCTCCTACCAGGACTGGCAAGAAGATCGCGTGCTACGGAGCCGTTCATATTTGTATACCCCCATCTCTAGTTCAGAGTAGTGAATCTTTCATATCAAACAGGATTAAGCCAAATATGCTTGCTTATGCTGTTATCATGCAGACTTTTGAGCATTGTTAATAAATGATCCATTAGCAGCAGCTGGTTTACTTTTGAGTAATCCTGCTATCCAGCTTGATAGTTCTCTGGGCTGAGGCAGATGCAGGTTAATTGCTTATTAAAACTCTTCAATTGGATTGTTGGTGACCTTTTGATAAATGCTTTCATAAGACAATTCAGTCTGTGAGATTTATAATATTTCTTTGTGGCATTTTGTTCTTCATTAAACTCATTCATTTATTGCTTTCTAGAGAAGCTGGAGCAGATCCGAGAGCAGGAACGCAAAGAAGACACTTTCACCCCAATGCCTAGTCCTTACTACATGGAATTAACTAAGTTGCTGCTGAATTAGTAAGTAGGATCGGGTCATTTTTATTTGAATTTGAACATTAAAAAAATGCAAGTGGTCTAGAGCAGGGGTCCCCAACCCCCAGTTGGGGCAGGGGCACCCCAACTGCGACCCAGCAGCGGTCCACGGCCTAGGCAGGACCGAGCCACAGACACAGATCTCCCGTTCCCCCGTGAGCGCTGCTATGTGCATGTGTGTGAGTGTGCTCTGTCCCAGTGAGTGCACTGTGTGAATGCGCGCAAGTGGCCTCCCCATGCACATGTGCGTGAGTATGCTCCGCCCCCACAAATGTGCATGCACAAGAGTGTCCCAGCTAGTGCAGCTGCGTGCATGCGCATGAGCGTGACATGCCCCCCCAAACAACCTCTAGACCAGGTTGGGGACCACTGGTCTAGAGGAGGGGTCATCAACCCCCAGTCCACAGCCCGGTGCCAGTCTGTGGGCTTGCTGGAACTGGGCCATGAATACAGATCTCTACCCCCCTCCGCATGCATGCATGGGGGCTATGTCGTGTCCGTGAGGGGTGCATTGTGCTTGTGTGGTGGGTGTGTCGTGCGTATGGGTGCCCCATGCCCACTGTGTTCGCATTGGGGTGCCCCTACCCCCCTGTGCATGGAGCTCGCTCTCCCCAGGTGGTCAGTGGCCCCAAGGAGGTTGGGGACCGCTGGTCTAGAGTATCTGTTTGCCTATATCAACAAATGATTGCATTCTTTGCACTGGTAATGTATGTCTTTATTTTTTTACCTTCAGTAGTGTAAAGTTACTAAGTGGTCCTTGTAAGTGCTAAGGAGGTATAATGACTGACATGCAGCTCTGTCCTGTAGCTTCTGATGTGAAGAAAAGAATAGCAACAATTCCAGACTGTTATGGCTTGTTCAGAATCTGAACAATATTTATGCCATAGATTTTATATATTGAACAAAGAGTCTTTTGTATTGTGCTCTGATAGGTTTTCTCCTCCCTTAGTGCTGCAGACAATATTCCAAAAGCAGATGAGATCCGAACACTGGTTAAGGACACATGGGACACCCGAATTGCAAAACTCCGGTTGTCTGCAGATAGCTTTGTCAGACAGCAGGAAGCTCATGCCAGGGTAAGAGATGTCTATGGTGATCTGTTAAGTTTATTGATGTAGTTGGGGGAGTGTTAAAGCAAGTAGAGCACTGTTTATACTGTGGCCGAAATGCTGTCACATTTTTACACTATTATAACACAATATAAGTCTTGGTGAATTGTCACAGGTTCAGAAATCAGCATGTGTGCTTGCTGTTTTGCACCAGGTTGTACAGCGTAATTTGCAAATGCAAATGCCTGCTCTGACGTCTGAGAATTCACTGATTTATGCCCATTGTCATATGCCAGTGGGCTTAACTGATAGGATTTTAGCTTATTATTGACATAATAGATATTAACTGATGTTAAAGTCACAGTGATTTGCAAGGATATAGATTCCTATTGCCCAGAAATAGTAGACATATACCATATTTTCCCATTTATGAGTCCCAATGTATAAGATGAAACCCCCCCCCCCATTTCTAACCCCTTTGACCACCGCTTTTCCTTGCCTTTTGCGAAGCCACGGGGCTTAGCAAAAAGTAAGGGAAGGCTCCCTTTGGGTAAAGGCTGCACAATCGCAGCCCTTGAAGCCCTTTCATGGCTGCTTTATCCTGAAGCCCTTTCATGGCTGCTTCAGGATCAAAGGGCTATGGGGCTTAGGAAATGGATAAAGCAGCCATGAAAGGGCTTCAGGATCAAAGGGCTATGATCGTGCAGCCCTTTCATGGCTGCTTTACCTGAAGGGAGCCTTCCCTTCCTTTTTGCTAAGTCCAGTGGCTTCGCAAAAGGCAGGGAAAAGCAGCTGGCTTCTGTGTATAAAATGACCCTCAATTTTTTGCCTAATTAAGGGAAACGTGTCATTTTATACACCTAAAAATACAGTAATTCCGATTTTCATTAGTATTTCTTTTTGTGCTGTTTTGTGGTGATATATCTACACAGTGTAGATGAATGTTAATAAGGTTGTTTTACTTTAATGGATTGGTGATAAACTGCCTTACTTCTGAAGTGTTAAAATGTATTGATTTTGCTATAAAAGTGGCACGAGGAAGCCCTGATCAAGTTCATTTCCCTGCTACTTTAATACAGAATCAAGCTGAAATATTACTGCACATTTGTGAATATATGCTCCTAATCTGGAATGTGGGACATAATCCTAAATTTGCTATTTGGGATGCATCTTTGAATGAGGGAAATAAATTGAGTGCCCATAGCAGTAGGCCAACATGGCACACTCCAGATGTGTTGATGCGATAGATCCCATTATAGCCATGCTGACTAGGCATGATGGGATGGCAGTACCACATTTGGAGAGTATCAAGTTGAGGAAGTCTGGTCTAGGCAAGAAGAAAGGAAAAGTGCAGGGTAGTCAAAAATGTCTGTACTATTTTGAATACTTTATACGTTTTGAAAATAACATGCCTTCCTTGGAGGCTTCTTAAAAATATAAGAGAGATTGAGAGAGAGAGAAAGAGAGAGAGATTCACTCAGAAAATTAAAACACATGAAAAACATGTTAAAATACACAAAAGACCACATGAATCAATTTTCTTGCAATACAGTGAAGTGCAGGTGTGTGTTTTTTCTGTCCACATACTAGTATGACTGCATCAGTGGTGCCTTCCAGACTCTGCAGTGTCCTACTGAAGAAAGACTAGGGTCTCCTTCACTCTTGTCTTTCCACTGAAAAGACACTTTCATTCAAGCAGGCATTTAGCAGCTAACCACATTTGTGGTGGACAGGATTTATAACTGGGTTAATGTTGCATTTTTTTCTGATAGTGTTTCCAGTTGCCCTCAATATCTGTGCTTATATTTATGTTTTCATTGTGTTTCATTTTTCTCTTAGGAAAAAAGGTGGGATATACATGAAATAAATGAAATTATTTCTATTTTAGTTTTATTTTTCTTTAAAGAAAATGATATTGGACATGGAGGGTTCAGGGGTGGGTGCTGTGCAAGGTTCCCTCTATATTGTGTGCAACTCCACCTCCTTCTGTGCAAGTTTTTTTCTCCTTTGTGCAGTGATTGCATTCAACCCCTTTGGTTCTGGTCACAACCGAACCTTGTATACACAGGGGGGCAGAGTCACATGCACACACAGTGGAGAAGATGCGCACCAGAGAGGCAGAGTCCTGCCCAGTGGGGCAGAAAATTAGAGGGTACATTGGTGCTGTGCCTTCCAGATCTCTTACTCCTGCATTCAACTTTTTTTAAAGCTACTATTTCCCCATACCTTCCTATACTTTTAGAAGCCTCTAAAAGATGGATTTGTCTTTTTTGTTGCTTTGGGCATAATACTTTAGCCACTTCAAGAAATTTTTCTCTCTGGTGTTTTCTGTTGACTGTCAGCTGTCTTTTTGTTCATTCTAGAGGTACTACAGCAGTTTTGCCTACCTGATGACTTTCTGGTGCTCAGATTGTAACTGCCTTTAGCCTCAGTTAATAGGACCAGTAAGGATCATGAAAATTAAAGTACAGAACAGCTGAAGGGCACCAGATATAGGAAGTTTGTATCTGTCCTTGAGTGGTTGTATGTTCTCTTATAGGCAGAAATCAACATATACCACATTGACTCTCATTCCACTTTTCACATTACATGTGTAGGGATCCTAGAAAGCTTAGATTAGGTGAACCACAGTAATAGGTTTGCAGTGTAGTTTTATTCTTTGACTGTTTTGGATGGACTTAAGAATAACAAGGAAGCTGGTTCCTTCTATATGTTTTTGACCAACACCTATCAGTCCCAGTGCTGAGGAATGTTAAAATGTTGCTTGTTTCTAATATCACAGGAATGTACCATCAATCTCTACAAATCTTATGAGTATTGTCCTTTTTGTAACAACTTTTCCTTGTCTCTTATAAGCTGGATAATCTGACTTTGATGGAGATCAACACTACTGGCGCTTTCCTTATACAAGCTTTAGATCACATGTACAAGCTTCGTACAAATCTCCAGCCTGGAGGGAGTGCACAGTCACAAGATTTTTGACAACAGAAATCTTCCATTCAATAGGGTCTTGTTACTCTCACTGGGTGGCTTTTCCTGGGTCTAAAACAAGTACACCTGTGATATTATTTGCCTTTGATATTCATCAGGATGCACATAAAGCAAAAACTATACATTGTAAACAAATGTCAGTGTAATATTCTTGATAGTATTTGTTTATGGACAAGCAGTGGAATGCTGAGTCTGTGGCATGATCATTTATCCAGTCTGTAAGGACGTGTATGGGTCCTTAGCAAGGGAATACAGCTCCTAGCTGTAATGGTAGATGCCTTTGTCCATTGTGGCTACCTATGCTGTTGTCATCCCATGATAAATATGCTGTTGCTCTTTGCTGTCTCACAACTGCACTCAACTGTTTATTCTTGATCTGAAACTTGTAAGATAAAACAAATTGGTCCTCCTAAAGATCCAGGTCCTTAGTGGCCCTTCATCTTCTGATACCTCTGGGACAAATGACAGCATGTGACTATTTTAAACACCCGATTGGACAACTGTTTAAGGGTGATGTGATATTCTCAAAAGGGCACACTGCTTCCACTGTGATGTTACTTACTCATTCTATTTGTCAGCTATCTTTTAGAGATAAAGGATCTTTTCTTGTTGCCTTGGCACCGACTGCTGAGTTTGTTATGAGAGAAACTGTGTGCTTTATATGGAAACAGATCCATAGAAACAAGACACATCACTTGGCCTGGTTTGTGTTCTATATATTATCAATGCAGTAGAGTCTCTTCATTCTTTGCTTTCCAAGGCCTGTTTGCAGCAGCCTGAATGTATCTAGATTTACCACTTATTTATTCACTGTCAGTTTTCTGGTCATCAGTCATATAGTAAGTGTTTCTGACTGTGGTGTACAGATTTCTGTGGAAGGAATTTCTGGTTGAATGATAGAAATGATGAGGGTGCAGCTTAATTGTTACTCTGCTGGCAGATTCCGAAGACGTAGGTTCTTAAATGGACATCAGTGAAGTCCTTTGCTGAACCTGGTATATTCTTTGGATATTTCGAACCAAAATATAGTTTTAAAAATATGTTTTTGTACATTAAACTGAAATATTTGTCAACATTAACTGCTTAATCGTTTATAAAACAAAGTTGAATTTATTGCCTCCTACTGTTTTCTTAACAGTTCCTTTGCTAGTGCTGAGGAGAAAGCCCAAGTAATGAGTCCTCTTATGCAAACACAGATATTGTGAAATTGTTTAAGATAAGGCTAGGTCTGATTTATATGCTTAATTTGAGATGTATGTATATTCATATTGTGAATTTATAATGGTTTGTAGTGGGTACTAGCAATATTGTATTTACTGTTTATACATTTGTTCTCTTTTCTTTTTAGTTCAATTTATTTTTGTTATTTGTTAAATCTCAAAAAAGTAAAAAAAAATACACCAGACATTGCTTATAAAAGAAATATATAACACTCTGAACTTTCTGAAGAGATGTTTTAAACCTAGTTTTTAATCTGTCTGAAAAGAGAAACAGTCCTTGCTTAATAAGAAGAATTAAGTTCATAATATTTAGGCAAGTACTATACTTGCACACAATTTCTAATAGTTTGCTCCTCAGTACTCATGTCTCCTGTTTTCGTACCCAATTAAGTAAAACTGATTTGTGAGTTATTTGACTTAGTGTGAGTGTTCTGGAATAAATCTTCAGTTAGCTGTGGTCTCTGGCTTTTCAAAGCTTCTAACTTGCTTTTTTTTATTCACTTGGGGAGTAATGACAAATTCTTTAAAGATGTGCCCCGTAAAGCATCTTCATTGTAAATGCTGTATAAATGTTGGATTAATTTGACTGCAAGAGTAAGCTGTGTCTTCTAACAGTATCTGTAAACAAAGTTAAATTCACTTACACAGAATCAGTATAGTTTCTATTTGCCATTGGTTCTGGGAAAATAACCTCTGTCATGATTTAGGAACATTTTATTTTTTGGATGTTGTCAGAAATTACAACAATATATTCATAAATACCTAATTACTACATTCAACAAATAATATATTACATTACATTTAATTCAAACAAGTACACTTAAAACAGGTTTGTCTCACAGCATCTAAACTGCCCCAGCAGGCCTGGGCTTTATTTTCCTGCTCTCCCCTCATGCTCTGTGCTTAGTTGCTTGAGAGATTCTGCACATTACAACAACCAGATAGCATGGTCCTGGGGCCAAGGGAGAGCAAACAGGTTAGTTTGAGAATTTAAGCAGTGAGCCAAGAAGTCTGGGCATGGAGTTAGTGGGGAGATAGAATTGGCTCACTGTTATGGCATAGAAGAAAAGGAGAACATTTTGGGAAAACTGGTTCCATAGTAAGATATTCTGGTTTCATGCTTGCACCTCCTATACCTAACCTTTTATGCTTTGAATTCTATGAAGGAAAGTTTTTAAACTTGTGGACTTGTTCTGAATTGCAAATTATGACCAATTTGGCTACTTTGTTGAAGTTGGATGGAATCCAAATGATTTTGAGTAAGTGCACATTCTTCGATCTTGTACATAGATAAGGATTTCAAGCCAATAGGCTCTCATGTGTGTCCTTAAACAGCACATGTTGTTGGGCTTGCAAAAGTTGAAGTAGTGTGGTACAAACATCTTCCCACAGAGCCCAGCCCAAATTCCACTTAAGTTGAAAGAAAAAAACAGATAGTGCAGTTATGTTTAGAAGAAAGAGTGCAATGGCCTCCCTCTTCCTATGCCCATCTTTTCCCCTCTCCCCCATTCTCTCATTGGTAAAAACTAGGGAGTAAAAGCAATCAATGATCCATGCTGACTTGAAAAGCATTGCTGTGGCAACTGTCAGATAAAGGTGTGAAGGGATAAACAAAACTGCCCTCACCCATCTTTGATAACTTAAAAAGTGAAGAAGTTAAGTGATGTTAAGTGATGTAGTCAGAAATAAATCAGTAGAGCTTAGTAACATTTCTCCCGTCTTTGCTCTTGTATTACTTTCCTAAGATGCTTAAAGGCCATGTTGCCTTTCTTTAGGTTTACTTGACATGATTGCTCCATTGCCTTATCAGAGGGGTGACTTGTGAAAAGTATTTTCTGGTTAAACATTGAAACCTGAATTGCCATAAGCACTTGAAACTACTGCAAGGTGAGTTTTGTTGTGGTCCCTTGTTTAAATAATTGTAAGCCAACAGGGTGTGGATATAATAAGTTTTATTTTAGTAAAACCTGTTTATGGAATGAAAGGGCAGAAATGACAAATTTTGTGTGCGTATGGGATTTCTCCATTAAAGGCAAGTGGGTGGTGATGTCTTATCGTTGGGGGAGGCTTCAGTGACTTCCACTCTTTCCTACTCTTTTTTCCCTCATGCTCCATTAGAGCCGATTGTCTCAAGTAAGGATGTTCAGAAACTGTTATAGAAACTGTTAGGTTTAGTTGCCTAAGGGATCACTTTGTTGAAGGAAAAATAAAATAAATTCAAGATAACTTTTTTTGCTGCATTTAGGAATAATACCTTCTAACACAGGCCCATGCATTTGCTCTTTTCTGTTCCTTCTTATAATATACTTTCTTCTGGAGTATGGCCAGGGCTTTGGTATTCTTAAAAGTTGCATAGAAAAGGGAATTATGGCAGGTGTAGCTTTGTCACATGGGGAAGGAAGCTGCACTAGATGAATCTGCTTCTAAGCGGTGACTGACAGGGATGAAGTGTTGCTGTCCTTTACAACTGGGCACTACAGCCCTATAAGAATGCACCAACTTGCTTTTCATTGTCAGTGTTAGGGAAATAATCTTTTAATAGCAGCAGCAAACAAAGCATTAAATGAGAGTTTCTAAAACCAAAGTATCAGCATCAAGAGAAAGAAGAGAATCCAGGGAACCTTTACTATAAAGAAGTTGTCAATTTCGGTTATAGTATTTGATTCAAAATGTTATGATTTTGCCACACTTTGTCTGCAAGAATTAACTGGTGAGGAGGACTGGCATACTTAAGGCAGTGGAGAAACTATTTTAAACTTCAGTGCATGATTCTCACTTCATGTTATCGTTTCTCCTAACTGAGTGTGAAAGGTCCGTGTATATAAAATTTGGTGCCCGTCCCTTTACTCATTCTAGGAATACTGTACTTGCAAAGTACAGGGACTACTTTTATTACATGCATTGCTTTCACACTTCACAGAAGACTTGCATGGCCACATCTAAGAATAAACCAAAGTGAGAACCAGCCCTAAGAGACAAACAAGGCTTTGAAAACCAGGCCTGTAAACTTCCTCATAGTGCATGTTTGCAGATAAAATATCAGTGGTCATGTCGATCACTAGCTTATCTGTTTGCCCTAATGCAAAGTCCCTGTGTATTGGTATTGCTAACTTCACAGCAGTCATAATTCATGAATTCCTAGAAAGAACAAAGTACTTGCTAGAAAGTTGTATTGTAGAAATGTCTATGGAGGAGTTCCATTTAACACCCAACCAAGTACTAAAATAAGGGTAGAAAATAATAGATGAAACCAGGAGTAAATTTTGGCAGTTACTGCATGAGCCACAGATTACAAAAAATACCTATTTCAAAACTGATTTTTATTCTTGCCACTGAATGCCTGTACAAGGATGATGTTAAAACCCTCATCACATGTGGATGCATGGAGTCTGTTTTCAGCATATGTGATCCCAAACTGCAGGAGTGTACATATGAATAATGTGGTTATAGGGGCAAATACGTTGCATGTTATGCAATCTGCATCACAAGTACCAATCAGGTGTGAAAACGTATATGTTCCATGTAGTTTTGTTTACATACATACCTCATACAGAAAAGGATTGTATGTATGCTGGAACTAGCTTCCATGCTATTGGAGGGGTAGAAAAGCAGGTGAGATAGACACACATTAGAAGATCTCTCTGCATATTTTTGCAAAAGTTTTTGGAGCATTTTTTTTTCTTTGGAAACCTCAGAAAACTGATTCTTGTACTGCTGTGATATTTTAAGCAGTGTTGGTAGAATGAGCGAATACCAGATACCGTACACTAACCAGTTTTGTTACTAAAACCTTGGTCTCCTTAAACTGAGATCTTGTTTTAAAAATAGTAGCTGGCATTCAGTATTCCAAATTCCAAAAGTGGGATAGAGGCAGGGTCAAAAGAAGGGTTGAGAAATTCCTGTTTTTTGTTTGTCTTGATCAGAGAATTTACTCTAGCAGTAACTGGTGCTACACATTGCAAAATATTTAAAAGTGATAACACGTGCCCCAGTGGAAAGCTTTTTCTTTAAAATTCTTTTAAAAAACATTTCAGTATTTTTATATCCTGACCAGCAGCAGTACAAACACTAAAAGCAAGCAATTTTTGCCAAAAAACAAAAACAAAAAAAGCAGAAACATATTGAAAATGGCAAGCTTTTTATAACAATAATTAAAGTAATAAAAACATACAAAACATTTTAAATATATACACAGTACAAGGCTGAAGCACCTTTTTCAACTCTTTAATTGCAAAATCTTTGTATGAAAATTCTACCCACTGGGGTACATAATCTGTGTGTATTGTATGTATATCACTGCTCTGTACATCCTCCCCTCCCCAGTAATAAAAAGGTACCTTCAGTTTATTTATTCACTTTTATTTTTCATGTGAAGTGCATTTCCAGCAAAAAGCTGACTGATGCATGGGAAGTCAAGTTTGGAAGCTGTATTTTCTTCTGCTAGGCCTATACTCTGCAAATAATTATTTCTGTGTCCAAAATACCCAGTTCTAACCAAAACTGATGTGTACCTGGTCTCTTCTTGAGTTGTGAAACAGTGTATTTCAGAAAAATAAAATGAAATTAAAAGATTCCAAAGGGTAGCAGTTGAACGGATATGGCAACAAAAGGAGCATTAGCGTGGAGACAATCTGGCCCCTTTGAGAGGTGGGGGATTTTAGTGTCACTGGTGGTATCTCTGGATTAAAAACAATGTTTAAAAAAAGGCAGGAGGAGAGGAGAAGGAAATCAACCCTTTCAAATTTAACGAAAACCAAGAGTTCTTCTAAATGAGTTACTCTTGCAGAGTTTTGAAAGATTTAGTTGCTTCTTTTGAAGAGTTGGGTTTGGATTTGCTTGGATCCCACAATCCTTTGCTCCATGCATGGCACATTCTCTCTTTTTGATATTATTTTTAAGCTTCAGACCTCCCAGTGAAAAATATTAAATATTCCAGGTAATAAAATAGATTATTATTTCTATACTATATGTTCAGCCTAGTGCAAGGGAGTGTCACCTGGGATACCCCTTGAAGTAACTTCTAGACCACTGCATTGCAGGCAACGCAAGGCACTTTCTCAAGTGATCTAGTTCGGCCTGAAGTCGTTCCCTTTCAGACACAATCTTCTGCTTCTGGCTCCTTAGTTCCTGCAAAAGCATAGAAAAGAGACCTCAGATGTTGATGCAAATACAGCATAAAGGTAAAAATGCCCCTGTGATCTAGGAACTATAGTCATGGGATATAAGCCATGATACCAAGAAGGGGGGGCTGCTATAGGGTTCCCCCCTCCTTCCCTTGGCCAATTTGCCAAATAGTTTTTCTTTTGCAACTGCTGTAGAATATCAAGGTATAAAATCCACACTCACGGTCATGGTGTGTGACAACTGTTCTGCTGTCAAACTGAGACTGTAGTGCTGGGCTTCCAAGCGTCTGCACTGGGTCTGCAGTACTTGCCGTTCCAGGTTTTGCTCTGTAATCAAATGCATATTGTCAGTCATACAGGTCAGCATAGGCTCATTTTTTGGCAAAACTAATGTGAAGTATTTGTTACCCATGTCTTGAATTGTACTGAGTATCCTTGAGTTGGATTTCTGAACAATGAGAAGCAACCTTTGTTTGTTTGTTTGTTCTTCCTAGCAGTAAAGAAATACTTGGCAGAAGTGGATTTTTCAAAAACTGCCCATTCTGGGTTACTTCATGTTTACCAAACTTCCTATTGAGGTATTACTGCCCCTGGATGTGAATTTAAGTTGCAAGTAGGGCCTGCAGCAAAATATTGGAAGTTCTAGTTTCTAGTACTGTTTTCCATTTTCCTTCTCACTCAGTGACTCAGGTCACTTTGAGTTTGATATCCTCTGTTGGGAGAAAGATTCTTTTTTATATTTCAAGGAATATTAAGAGTTCCTTCTAAGAGCAGGTAGTATATTCCGCTTGTATATTTGTTGAAAGTTGTAACAGACTGATGTGGCTGCTGCTTTGGAAGTGCCAAAAACTAGTTACTTTTCATTCCTCCCTCCAAAGTAGGAAAGCAATAACATAAAATTAGTTAGCTAGTGGAGAATTGTTTTCTGCAAGGAAGAGGCCTGAGAGAGACAATATAAAATCATATAACATGTATTTTTCCAAAGAAAATAATGAGTCCTGCAGCAGTAAAGTATCAACTGCTCAGAAACAATATTAATTGAATCATCATCATATTACAATACAATTAACCTGGGAACAAACACTAGTTTGTAGCAGCAAGTGGTTTATGTTTACAGGAAGTACTTTTTCTCAACAAAATATTTTTAAGGTTCTTAAAAGACACCTGAAGGTGGTTATTAGGACTTTTTGGACCATTCTAGTGGCTATGGGATTTGTAGCAAGAATGTGTAAAAAAATCAGTCAGGATGAAAAGTATAAAAGAGAGTGTTCTTTAAGTCATCCGGAGTCCAAGCTCTTGGCTTCCAAGTTAAAAGCAGTACCTTGAAATGAGACCATAAAACAAATACGGCAACTGGCTGAGTCCAGAAGGCTGAGGACAATTTCTCATTCTTTATAACTCTCTTTAGGGATTACATTAAATTGAAACAGTAGTGTTCATATCAGATTCTAGTGACATCAGGAACAGATAATACCTGGCCTTTGTTAACCTTAAAACAGAATACTTTTCCACCTTAAAACAGAATACTTCGAGGTGACTTGTAGTCTGCCCAGCCCCTACATTTTTTATGACAAGTTTTTTTGTTGTTGTTTTGTTTTGTTTTTGGCTGAGCAAAATACTTCTTAAGGAATGAAATGCACTGAGGAATTCAAAATAGTAAAATCATCCTTGAGGGGAGAACTGATGCTAGATAGCCTTTTGTCATAAGGCACAGTTTATGGGAAGATTTCAGTGAAACTACTGTGAGGCTGGTAAGAGTGCCTTGCAGTTTTCTAAAAGACAATTTAAATCTTGTTCATAAGGATCTGGGTGAGATGTAATTAATTTCCACAATAATCAGAAATGGAAGATTTAGAGCTATAATGAAACAAAAACAGCTGATACACTGGAAGTTGTACAGCATTTCTATGTTAAAGTAAAATACCTATTCAGCTTTTGCCGACAAAGGTCCGCATAGTCAAAGCTATGGTTTTTCCAGTAGTAGTGTATGGAAGTGAGAGCTGGAACATAAAGAAGCCTGACCGCCGAAGAATTGATGCTCTTGAATTGTGGTGCTGGAGGAAACTCTTGAGAGTCCCCTGGACTGCAAGAAGAACAAACCTATCCGTTCTGAAGGAAATCAACCCTGAGTGCTCACTGGAAGGAGAGGTCCTGAAGCTGAGGCTCCAATCCTTTGGCCATCTCATGAGAAGAGAAGACTCCCTGGAAAAGACCCTGATGTTGGGAAAGTGTGAAGGAAAGAGGAGAAGGGGACGACAGAGGATGAGATGGCTGGGCAGTGTCACCAAAGCTACCAACATGAATTTGACCAAACTCCAAGAGGCAGAGGAAGACAGGAGGGCCTGTCGTGCTCTGGTCCATGGGGTCACGAAGAGTCGGACATGACTTAATGACTAAACAACAACATTCAGCTTTTAGAAAGGCAAGTACAGTCATCATGTGAGGAAAGGAGGACAAGTAGCCCAACTGTCTTTCCATCCCCAGTTCCACTGTTCTCTATGCCAGTGGTCTCCAACCTTTTCCCAACCATGGACTGGTTGGGGATGTGTGTCACGCTTGTGGGAGGGGTGTGTGTCCCACTCACAGGGAATGTCATGCTTGCGTGCACATGCGTGGCACACTCACAGGGGGCAGAGTGTGGTGTCCCACTCACAGGGAATGTCATGCTTGTGTGCACATGCGTGGCGCACTCACAGGGGGGAGAGTGTGCTTGTGGGGGCATGCTCGTGGGGGGGGGAGGAGATCTGTGTCCGTGGCCCAGTCCTGCAACTGGGGCTTGGGGACCGCTGATCTATGCTAGGAGATCTGTGTCCGTGGCCCGGTCCTGTAACTGGGGCTTGGGGACCGCTGATCTATGTGAAAGGGCATATGTTTGAAAAGGAGAGGCTTGGTGTGTGTGTGTCCATATAAGTTAGTATAAAATCAGGCTTCTAATTCACTTGAAGAGCACCCTTCGTGGATATGGGTGACTCCTTTCTTTAGCCAGATCACCCTACAACAGGCAAGTGGGAGAACAAGTGATGGGAGGGGGCACTGGTCCATACTCTTGCTCATCTGGTGAATGTATTTGTGCTTAAATATCTGGATATGGCTGATGAGCAAACTTAATGGGAACAAGGCAACAGAAATCCACCATCTAACAATTTTGGTACATTGTAAGATTTATGCAATGTTCACAAATTCGTGGAACTGGGGAAGGATTCAGTGTGTATATAAGACAGGAACCCTGAGAGTGTAAATCTGTAGTGAGCCACCAAGGCACTGACTCTAGACCATAGGATTTTTTCCAGGTCATATCCTCTTCCAGTGGCAACTTATGATTCCAAGAGTTATTCTGTGGTGCCAGCATTTCCACCACTACTCACAAAGCCCATTAGCATCAGTGACAGCCACCTGCCTCAAGGTAAAAGCTAGATATGCCCATAGCGCTGGCTGTGTAGACTTTAACCCAGACTTCTTTTTAGGAATGGCCCTGTATGCTGTTGGAATTAACATTCAGCATGTTTTGGTTGAAGTAATTAAGGTTTTGATAGGAAAATGTTTTCAGGTCCCTTATATATAAAGTATATACAGTATATGCGAGCATTCTGTTCTTAAGAATGGCTAAAAGTGCTCTGATAGTGGAGCTGGAGTTCTGTTCTGATCCCTTTGTAAGATCATAGTTCCTTCCTCAGATGCTTAAAATCTACAGAATTAACCAGTTCTGAGTCATTCTAGTTGTCTTTCCTTCATGCTTTCCCCCATTTCTGCAGTACCAAATTGTGATGACACTTGCATGTAGTATTTTAAGTATCAATGCATTGCAAGTTCATGCAAGAGCATTATTTTGCTTGTTTACTAATTGTGCACAAGAAATTTCTTGCTAGGTCAAAGAGTTCCCTTATGATCTTGAGAAAAGAACATTGATGTAAGTGATTAACAGGAAGAACAAGCTTTGAAGAAAAGGTTTTAAATAATGATAACCTGTTTCATTTTTAATTTGCATCACTGGAAACCAGCTGACACATTACTGAAAAAGGTCTCTTGAATCAATGTGGCTTACCTTCTATATGTTCTTGGTAAGCTTCAAAGACTGCTTCAATCCCATGCCACTTGGGTCTGGGGAGCTCCTCCTCTTCCTCTTCCTCCTCCTCCTCTTCTGAGTCAGAGATCTTGTCATTTTCTGTTGGGTTCAAGCCCTTATGCTGGGAGTCTTTCTGACCGTTCTGCTGCGGCAGAGATGCCCAACTTGAAGTTTGTAATTCCGGAATGTTATAATGGATGGAGGCATCTATTTTATGGTTTTGCTCTGCTGAGTGTCCCATTGCATTACCTAGAAGTCAGCATACAAGATGTGAAATATCCGATTACATGTCCCTTTAGCTTTGGAATAATGATAATGCTTAAGCAACTAGTGGTGTCTAAGGAAAACATCCATTCCACCCCATCCAGAATGCCAGTTGTCCAAATTTCCTAAGTTGAGAACCAAGTAGCTGTAAATGCTGTACTCACAGCAGGAGATTAATTAAGCAAAGGGGAGCCAACAAGCCTAATACACATGTTGCTAAGGCAGTAGAGAAAGTAACATCTTCAGAAGAAATAATTTTGCATGAAAACAATGCTACACTGAACTTATCCATTCTTGCAAGTTGCACTTATGTACGTGTAGAAAATTCAGGTTCCAAAGGGAACTGCTGACTGTAGTGTTCCACTAATGGAGGCTGTACATATTCAGTGGAAGTACGAAGGATGACAGGACAGAAGAGTAAGAAAATTGAAGGAGAACTACACAAAATCACAAAGTAGTCAGATACTGAATCTAGGACCCTTGCTGGCCAAGTTCCAGTCCTTTTCGAAACAGGACTATCAATGGTTTTAATAACTTTCACTCAAGCTATTATTGCAATGAAAAGGTATGTTAGTAAGATTAATGCTCCTTATTCAGCACAAGAGACATTTTCAGGGGATTTTACTATCTCTCCCAGAGCCAGTCAGTGAAACTTTTATGGACCATACCTTCTGCTGCTAAACTGGCAACCACTGCTGGCTGCCTTGATTTTTTTTAATGACATTTCACACTACCAGCAGCTGCCTGCACACACTACCAACTTTATATTCTACACTTCTGTCTGCTGAAATTAATGAGCATTTCATAAAATTAGGTGTTATTTCCAGTATCTTTTCATGAAGTTGTCATATTTACCACCACCTACTGAAAATTATTTAGGCTGTTCTATCAATAGGAGAAACTGATACTACTGACATTAATAAACACCTCTAAAACATTCAGTGTTTTAGCCTTTTCCCAGATATGAATGACATTAGAATCTACACCAGGCACTCAGCTGATCCTATTGTTCCATAATGGTCATTATTTTATATCAGTTATCTTTGTCTCCTCTTTTTAATGCATGCTGCATTAAACAGGTACTCCAAGCAAGTTTGCTTGCTTACTTTTTTTCTGAGCAGTGAAGCTAGAATCTGAGGAACTTTTTAATTAGCTGAGCTAATTGTGCAATGTCTGCCTGTCTAAAAAGGAATTAATCTTTTAGAAAACCTGAGTTGTGCAAGTAAAAGTTGGCTTGTCTAATTGTATCTTTGGACACAGAAACTAACCCTAAACCTGACTCTATCCACAGTTCAGAGTCCCTTGAACTTCTCAACAGCCTGTACTCATGGGACGATGCTACTATTGGCTTTTGCATGTTCGTTACCTTTGTGCTTCTGCAGTGCTTTCTGTGTGGACTGCAACACAGACTCATGGAACTGATGTGCAAATTCCTCAGCTATAAAGGGCTCCCATGGCTTGTTTTTCCCATTCATGCTGTGCGAGAGCGGCACCGGGATGTCCTTTGGTAAGGAGCTTCGGACATAGTTGAGGATGCTCAGGCTTTTCTTTGCTGTGTGCCCATCACTCAACTTGGGCTTTTCAATGGAGGCAGGAACTGGCTCCTTAACTCTTGGAAACTCATGTGGCCTCAGCTGTTCTGTTCTGCAGGGCTCTGCTGTCTTCTGAGTGTCTGGCAGAGAGGCAGCAGCAGTGCTGACAGTTTTATCTGAATCCATTGCAGTTTGCTGTATAAGTGACTCTGTGGGGATCGGGGTGGGGGAAACACAACACTGTAACTCGGCAACTCACGTTTTCTACACTGGTGCTTCCAAATGAAAATGCATTTTGTCAAGAGAGATGTGGCTAAGTAGAAACATGTGTGGAAAATAAATACATTTCTGTGTAGTACTCTGTGGAGTTGATGATATTTTGCAGCTGTAAGGAGATACAACATAAACATGGCTCCAGCTGGTATCTAAGAGTTTCCCCTAAACACTGAACTTGCAGGTCTGAAAAACCTCTTAAAACCACTTTTTGGTATGTAAATATGGTCTGAGGCACATCTGACACAGTGGGGTCTTGACTTGAGAACTTAATCTGTATTGGAAGGCGGTTCTCAAGTCAAAAAGTCTGTAAGTCAAGTCTCCATTGACCTACAGTGCATTGAAAACCGATTAATCCCGTAACAGGCCGTTTTTGTTCCATTTTGGTTTTTTTCTGGTCTGTAAGTCAAATCTTAGTCTGCAAGTCAAACCTAAATTTTGCGGCCAGAGAAGTCTGTAACTCAAAAAGTCTGTAAGTCAAGCCGTCTGTAAGTCAAGGGTCCACTGTAGTTCCTGACTTATGTGCTCTAAGAATTGGTGGCAACGTTCATCTTAATGTAGCTGTAAGCTTGTAATAGAACATGGGGAAGCGATACCTAGCTGGTGAGAAGGAAGTCTATGTGTAAAAATAAAATTGAGGCGGCATGCTAATTGATGCAAATAGTTGCCTTTCCCACCCACCACCAACAGTGTGGATACTGCCTACAGTTCTTACCACTTATTGTCAGGAGTTATGAAACACTTGTAGATAATGAGGCACAAGGGGTATTTTTTCCACTTCAAGCTTTCTACAAAGGCAGCAGGACAAGATTAAACTACCTGTGCTGAAGATCTACAGTATGTCTAAGACGTATATCTCTTATCTTGTTGTGGGAGACAAACAAGGATTTCCTTTTGCAAAAAGAATCTGGCTCCTTCTCCTTGGACTGACTGTTGTAAACTAGTGAACAGTCACAGACAAAGGATAATTAAGTCAATCGGGGGCAGCTTTCAATCCCAAGGAGCCCATATCAAGGGCATCAATCTTTGACTATCATGCTGTTGCTATTTATGTTGACTTACCAGGTGAAATAATGTTAGGACTGTCCCGTGGGGAACTTTTCAATGCCACAGAATTACTTTTTTGTTTCATGGCATGGAGCATCTCAACTAGTTTCTCCTTATCTGCAAGACAAGAATTGAGAGTTTGAAGAAGACTTTTTTTATTGGTCAGATGAGAAAGAACAGCCCAGTACAGGATCTGTTTCAATGTCTGTTGTGTTAGTGAAAGTGACTTTATCATTTGCTCTAGGCTCTTGACTGGCAACTCACAGTATTTATATTGCATATTTTAAAGCATGTCATATGCCATCCCAGTATAGAAACAGTGAGTATTGTCATCCTGGTATTGGCAGCTGGAGGAGTTGAAGCTGAGAAAATGTTTCACCTCAGACTCCCAGGTGACTGCGCTGTTAGAAGTTGTGCCCAGTGGCCTGTTTTGATATACATGCGTATGGAACCCCAGCTGCTTAAATTGCCATGGCAATCTGATAAGGTGTTGGTCATGTGTGAGTGATACCTTGTCATATCACAGCATTAGCTTTAACAGAGTTCCACATGTGTGTAAGTATAGAACAGCATACTGACTATTATTTCAATGAAAGATTTACACTCTTCTTCACAGTGTTATACCTGTTATGTGAGGCGGCTCTCTTTTCCTTGGAAAACACAGTGGATGAATAGAAGACAATGGCCAGTTCAAACATTACAGACAGCGTTCCTGGATATGGTTATGAGAGTTTAGACTTTCAGAAGTCATGTAGCCTACAATCCAGGTCCAAGGGACCTTATGTAAGCATAAAGGTTTGTAAATGTTTGTTCTTAGAAAAGAACCCTCAGTTCATTTGACATAGAACAGGCCACCTTCTGGATGATATACTACAGTTAGATCAATAAATTCCAGATGACATATGAGATGGTCTTCCATATAACCTCTCAACTTATCAGCTATGGAAAAATCTCTTTCACTCACTTATTATTTAGAAATGCAGGAACAGGTGATACCTGTTTCTGCATTTGTATTGTTTTGGGGACTATGTGGCCTTGTCCTGAGTTTTTCTGATCATTATTTAGAAGGTTCTATTTCTGCTACTAATGCCAAACTGATACATACCTTTCCTTTTCTCAGCAGTAATGTGAGTTAAGTTGAAAGTGGTGAGGAACCTTCTCTTCTCCTCAAAGTTGGGGCTATTGTTCATTTCGTCAGGGCTGTAACGTGTGGAGAGCACAAACCGTGGAGAGGGGGTGCGGCGTTTATTCTGGACCGTTGGTGGGGATGGACTCCTCTCTCGCAACATTCTCCGCCTCTTCCGCCGTTTCTGAGTCAGCAACACCTCCTTCTGTTGCTGTGTGGTCAGTCCAAAAAGCTGTAAGAACTCCAGTTTCTGGAAGGGTGCAATGGAGGAGGAAAGCCTTTTCTCTTACTGAAGAATACATTAGCCATTGCTTCCATGGTACAAATTACAGTATCATCTGTTCCTCCCTCCCTCCCCTGTCTTCCTGTCTTAAAAAAAAAGGCTGTTTTTGCAAGAAGCCAGGGAATGGCTCCCTCCTTCAGCGTAGCAAGTCCTAATATCTTCAAGCATTTCTTTATAAGATAACTACTTGGCTATCTGAATTCTTCCAGTACACAAACTTATCAGCTGCACAGGAGGAAAAATAAGTATCAGTTGTCTGTCCCACAACTGGGCAAAGGTTTTGTCCTCGAGGAGTGCATTTGATGCTGGATGGCAGGTCAGGGACTGCACAGGTACACACAAAGGTTGAAGGGACTTACCTCAGAGGAGGTATCCAGCTTCAGTGGTGGCTGCTCTGCTACACAACGAAGGTGGGCTCGTACTTCCTCTTCATCACTCTCATCATAGGAGTCATCCAGATCATAATAATAACCTGTGTGCACAATGAAGAAAAGAGATATGAAACCCTTTACAATGCCAAAATACTATGATTTCTGCTAGCCTCTCTGTGGCGTAAGAGACAGACTCTAACCTATCATGGAGCATCTCTGAAAGTTAGTCCATACCACTGCTACAGTGCTTTTACTATTCCTTGTTCACAAGAGCACAGGTGAAGGCAGGCACTGTTATGTAGAAAAGAAAATAGGCGGCTGTGCAGATACACATCTGGAAACAGGCAGAGACTCTTGCTCAGGGGTTTGTGTGTATTCTGCCTGAAAGATGCCCAAATCCTGCAAGAAAAGGATTCTGCTAAATAGGAACAAATTCTGTCAGAAGATAATGGAAAGCAAAAGCTTGAGAGGAAGATAGCAGCTCGCCGCAATACATGTAACCACATTGTGGTCCTCTTGGATATATGGCTTCTACTGTTTCTTGCACATCTCAAAAGGAGACAGTATCTGCAGTTGTCCTAGTGTTCAGAAGCTCCTGTCGAACAGCAAGAGAGCAGGATATATTTTTTGAACATAGCAACCGAGAGGTGCTCGGCAGTTGGATTGTGGTGGGGCCCTAACAATCGGGCTTGGGCACTTTAACATGCTGAACAGGTTTGCAAGACAGACTTTCCTGCTTTTCAGTGGGAGTATCTTAATGCGGTGACACATTAACCACACAGGAGAGGAGGTTCATGCTCCTAGTGGCAGAGCAATCAATAGCAATGTGCACAGCAGAAGCTTTCCGTTTCTTGCAGGAGATGTTTGGTTTTGTGCATCAGGGGGACACCTCTTTTGGGTCATTTTAGTCTGTTTCCCCCCATTTATTTTGCAGTGAGGGAAGAAAGCAGGGCTGGTGGAGAAGTGCGACAGTGGCAGGAAAAAGGGAAAAGATCAGGGCAAGGACTAGGCAAGGTGAGAGAAGGGAAAGAGGGGACTGGCCGGGCAAGGAGGTGCACTGTGACGCCTGCAAGTGCAAGGCAAATGTCCCAGGCAGTTTGGGTAAAGGAAAAGTTGGAGGAAAGAGAAAAATGCAGAGACCCAGGAAATTCCCTTTTTTAATACAGATCATATGTGTTTAAGAGGCTGTCTTTCAGGAATCCACAAAAGAACAGGAAAGTGAAAGACAATTTTTTTTCATGTTTTTCCCTTTTGTTTTTAAATTAAAGCCCCATCCCTGACAGCCAACTGTGTTGCTAATTGGCTCACTCATACCAAACTGGCAGTGAAAGGAGGGGGCGGCACAAACAAGACTGAAGAAAACAAGCTGATTCCCAGTGAGAGGTCAGCAGCCATGCACAGAACACTGTGTGCCACTACACACCATGGACATTTTGCTGCCTGTGTACCATAGCATTTTCACCTCCCTAGTGAAGTCTTTTGCTTTTCTACCTTTTGCTAATCCCACTCTGGTTATACATTCTAGATTAATATTTAAAGTTTGCTGTATTAGTCTCACTTCATCATTTATTAATTGAGCTCATCTTGGAGGCAGGATTTACACAGCAGTTTGGATTGGGTCTTCAAGGTGATTTAAAGACACTATGGGGAGAGGAAGCAGCCTGGTTTGTTGTAAAGCTCTATTAGTTTCCTAAGAGAGATGTGATTTCAGTTATCAGGGCTTTGATGGAACATCAAAAGTCTAGTTTCTCAGGATTTCACAGTTTTGGCGGTGTTTATTCCGGAATAAACCGGGCAGCTTCCAGATAAATAGGGAAGCCTTCCATTACACTGGGGGAAGAATCCAGCTCTAAAGATTGAAGGACCCTTTACTGATCAAGTAGTCAGCAGTGCCTTTCAATTGTGCCTACCAGAGTAAGGAGGCAGCTGATGGCTTATTCATTATTTTGTCCTCAAGACTGTTTCATTTTAGTAAGGTTGCCTGTTGTAACAGCAATGGGACCGGTATGAAACAAGAGCACTGTTTTGTGAGGAATTTTAGGAACATGAGGTTTACACTAAATTGTGTTGACTGGAAGTGCCAGAAGCCATTGCTCACACACATCTCTCCCTCACAATGGGAAAGACAACAGTATGGGAGAAAGGAGCTGAATTGTCTTTTAGGGATTTCTGCATCTCTATTCAAAAGGCCTTGACATTTTTGTTCTTGTAAAGCTGTACTGCTTTCCAAAGCATGCATACATACTTGAAAGTGAGTTCTTTGAGATTTATGTGCTTTGCCCATGGCCTGAAGAAACTAATGGTATCCAGAAGTTAGTAAGACTGAAAGATACCGAAGTACACCATGGCTCTGAGTTGCCCCACTCCCTCAACCTGGAAGGGAGGACTGGCTAAACAGGTACGCTTTTGGTTTCTCGTGTAACTCCTCAGAACAAAATAAGCCACAAAGCTCTGTTGCAAGATCCCAGGAGGTCTGGCTGAGACCCTCACTAAGTAGTTTTCATCCTTTTGGCAGGTGTGTGTAAATTACCTTAGGTGCAAGGAGACACAGTGCAAGGTGAGGTTCGTATTCTCAATACTGCAACCCTCTTAAAGTGCCATATAGGATTTTTTGGGGAACATTTGAGATTCTGCACCAGTGAAGTTGCTAGTGGGCTAGTCAAGAAAAGAGTTAACACACTCGCCTTTCTCCTGGGCTTCCCTCCGTCTTTTCTCCTCTAGGTCCAGTTTACTGACCAGCCTACGATGCTGTTGCAAGAATTCGTCGTAAATGTACATGGAGTCATGGGCTTTTTGTAATGGATGCCTATAAGGCGAGCCAGGCTTACTGTTCAAGGTGTCAACAAACTGTCCACTCTGTGAGAGTGCTGCCCTCTGCTGGTTCAAAATGGTCTGCGTGGACTTCTCCAGCTCTGCCAAAAAGGGCCCGTGGGAAAAGCCACCATGCTCTGTGCCTCCAAGCTCTCTGGCTGGCTGATACTTCTCCAACGTTTCTCTCTTCTTGTCCCCTTCCTCTGGTTTTTCTGGACAGTAGACCCGTTCTACTTTCACAAGGGGGATGGCTTGCCGACTTGGCTCATATTGGTTTGGATGGCTCTGGAGGGTGTGGCTTTCTTGTATCCTTCGGGGTTCACTGGTGCTGTCCATCAGGGAAACAGGGTTCCAGAGAGAGGTTGCAACAGGATGATGCTGAGGCTTAGGGGAGATAAGTGGAGGGGGCCCTCCAAAATGCTGCGGCTGGTCTCTGCTACCTGGTTCAGGTCGGTTTGGTCCCAATCTGAAGAAAAGATGGATATGGAAAAATTAACATACTGCAAAAGAGCAGTCCTACAATAAGTGCCACATCTCCGCCACTGAAGGGCATTAATTTAAATCTCTACTTGCTAGGTAGCAAGAGATTCTTCTTCATGGTGTCCTCTTACTTTGAATGAAATATACTGTATTGTATATGTAAAAAAAGTCACTCATAAACAGTAATCATAGTTTCGCATCTTGTGCTAAGATACTAAGGAGCCTCACACCTTAATTTCTACGTTGTGAAATGTTATTCCTATACTATAATTAAACAAGGCTTGAGACATGAGTGGCCCAAAAAAACTGAACAGCCAACCCTGTAGCACCATGTTTTTATATCTGTTGGAAGGCAGTTCAGTCAGGGTATATGTCACACATCCATGTGCCTCCAGGAGTCTGAAACTAGAGTGACATCTAGTGGTGATTAGGATGAAGGCAGCTGAAATAATGCCATTTGCAAGACCGTAAGACATTATGCACTAAATTACTGAACAATGTGGGTCAAGAGATGGCAACATCTGTCCCTTTCAGATTATTTTTCACTTCTCTAGCAACCAGGCTCACTGTGTGTCACTAGAAAGACGAGTGTTTCCCCACAAGGCCCAGTTGGGCAATCTTTTACAATTGTTATGTGAAATGTGATTGGAATATTGGAAAGATTTGATGCTCAACTTCAGCTAAGCTTTGACTGAGGTCATTCAAGAAAACAAGGTGGGCCTAGGTGCTTTTTAGCCATCAATGGCAAACAAGCAGTGAAGCTGAATTGGGTCAAAGGCTCATCTCATCCAGTAGCCTGCTGCTGAGAGTGACCAACTGGATGCCGAGAGGAAGCCCACAGGAGAGATAAGAGGCTAGCATCTTGTTGGAGCAACTCTATGCAGTGGTATGCTGGTTTGGAACATGTAAGTTTTATACCGGCATCACACCACTCCATTCTCTCTTTTTTACAGTTGCTGCTTCTGTATTGGAATTGTGGAGTTATTGGTGATGAAGTATTGTTTAGTCTGAAAAAGCTACAGTATTTTTTGCTGCTTGATATCTTCTTTTTTGCACTGCTTTCTTTAGGCTCTTGTATGGATCATTAAATGGATGGTGGCATGGTCATCTTACTTTTGCTATTGAATGCATTGATGTGGCTGTCTTGGCTTGCTGAAATGCATATATACATTTTGACATTATGTCTTATAAAACTGTTAGTGATCTATCTTTAGACACTAATTTTGTTCTGTTTCAATGGGAAACTGACATATTAATATACTAATGGCAATGCCCTGTTAATCGCTACTCAGACCGCTAACTGCTTTGTTTAGGTATAGGCATACATGAGCTCTGTATGGGTTCAACAAGAGCAAAACCCTCAAAAAAGTTAATGTTTTAGTAGCACAAAGGGAATGTAATCCCTTTTTAAGTAACTAGTAAAAGGACTAAAACTGTTAGCAGGATAAATATTGCATGTCCTGAAGCTGTGCGTGTAACAGTTTTCCACTTCAGAGCACTGGGTCTCTGTGCAGTGGAGCATCAAGTGCAGATTGCCGCCTCAATTTGTAATGTGGCTCTTGTGGAGCTGGGAAAATCTCTTAGAGCCATTGTTTGCAGGGGACCACATTTAAGGGCACCATCGATGATCCTGAAGACTGTTATCTATCCATAGTTGTTATACCTTCTTAAGCAGATTTTCTCTCCTTAAAGGAATATGAGAATTTAAAATATTTTTTTGAAAAGCTATCAAAAAGAAGAAAACATGAAACTCACAAATCTACTTCAAACTTGCCCTTTTAAAAAAATAATCTTTCATAATGCCAGGAAGCAGAGGTGGGGAACCGTCCAACTAAACCAGCAACAATGAAACAGCAAGTCTGTTGATTATAGTGGCCCATTCCCAAGTTGCTTACAGCTCTAGCTGCCGCTGCACCCACTTATCCAGGTGCAATGGATTAGTGGCCACAGAATTGTGACTATAGGCCAAGGTCCTCGCTTGCATGCATTAGAGCTGACCTTTTCTAGGCGTGCGGCTATGCAAGACAATGAAATGAAAATCTGGCACTGCCATGCACACAAGTAATCCACTCCTTACACCTGATATCTCATTTAATCCCCTTGATACCCACAAACAATAGTGGGATCCCATGGCAGAGCCAAAGGGATGAGTCGAGTCAGTGGTGTTTAAATGAGTCCTGGCCAACGGAGCAAGAAAGGGAACACAGATCCACCCAGAGGCACAAGTAGCATGAGAGCAGGCACTGACAGAGGCTCTCTCTTCTTTCTCTGTATGGCATGATACTTTTACATCCAGACAGTAGCTTGAAATTTGCCATACTTCACATCATCATGCCTGGCACAGAGATAGAGGGTATCTGAAAACGGGCTGGCACAGAACTGAACACTGTATGGCTTAGCCCCTAGGCTGTAGACCAAAACATGTTCCAGTGTAGCTGGACAGACTCCTGTCATGTGCAAGATGGATCATCTTGCTCTAGGCCAAGCAGACAATAAGGCTCTAAAAGCCAACGGTGGCTTCTGTCACCCCTGTCTGAGTCACACAGTAGAATGTCACTGCCAGCAGTATTATAACCCATTCATATCTAGAAGTCTCGAAGGCCCAGTCCCTGTTCCCTCCATCTGCCAAGGATGGTGCCAGTGACACCTGGTCACCACCAGTTGGACGGAGGCCACCTTGCTCATTCTGCCCAGGCTTCCAAGCAGCTGTCGAATGGCATTAGTCTGTGCCTCTTGAAATCCAGATAGAATGGTGCCAGATGAAGGCTCTGGGTCTCATTCTTCCTTCCAAGGCACCTATCTCTGTCAACTGGCTCTCTGGCAAATAAACCACTTCAACCTGGATACTGACTTTGGTTTTTCCTAGTCTTCTAATCCCAACAAGCCAGACAGAGAAGACCTGCTTTGATAACACCATTTCCTTCTCACCAAAAGATTGCCACCAACACAGAATCCAAAGCAATCCAACCTCTGAGAATCAAGTCTTACCGGGGGTTCTCTGGCCGGTGCTCTATTTCCATCTGTCCCGGTGGGCGCCCAATGTCCAGATGCTGCTCAAGGACTTGCTGCCGGAACTCTGACACTTGGGACTGGCGGTCCTCCTTTTCCTGACGCAGCCGCCGCTGCCGGGCCAGCCATTTCTCTTCCTCATTGTTACGCTGGATGAGGAGAGCTGTGGCTGTACTGCTCCCAGGCAAGGGGAAGATACTGTGGTTAGAAATTAAGCTGGGCACTGGATGGTGTGAGGCAGATGGCTGGTGCAAAGGGTGCTGGAGTGGCTTCGGGGCCTGAATAGCAGAAGAGTCCTTAGGTTTCTCTGTTAAAAGAAGAAACAGCAGACATGACTGGGATTCAGCTAGTGTTAGGATGTTGTTCTCTGGTTACAGTGCATTTTTTTAGTGTGAAGAAGACAGTAGAATTATCAGGAGAGCACGGTATTACCCCCTATGTGGCTGTGCCTGTGGCGATGGCCACTGTGATCTGAGACAAATGATCAAATAGTGTGGTCCAGGAGCTCCACAGTACCTAAAACTCAAGCCATTGCATAAAGATTGCAGGGCATATGAATGGTTCATATAGGCACAGCAGATCTGGGCAAAACTACAAGTGCTGGTTAAGGCCACTGACTAATTTAATGGACGTGGACAGTCATACTATAGAATGGATTCCCCTTGGAAACAGGAATTTCCTCCGTAACATGAAGACACAGCAAAATTAAGCATGCTTATTCTTTAATACTCTGCACAAACATTAAAAAGCACAGTTTGTATGGCCCAGGAAATTGGATGCAGTGAACTTAATGCCATATTCTGGGGAAGAGGAGGATGGAGGAGGAAAGAACACTGACATTAGGTGCTCAGTATAATGGTGGTTTTGGATGAAATGCTGATACCTATACAGAGCAGAAAAATTCTTGGAAATTCTTTTACATTTTTGAAAACTTTTATCAATATCTTGACATATGTTTCTAAATGTTTCTCTATAGACCTGACATATACGGTAGGACTTCACTATCCATGGGATAAGTGTCCGCTGATTCACTTATCCACTGGCTGAAAATACTAAATAAAAAAACCCCAGAACAAGCTATTTATATATATTCCCAAATGTATTTGTCAGAAGTGAACACTTGAGGGAGCCAGAGACCATGCAATGTATAGCATTTGATACTTGTGTGCTTTTCAGCATATGTAAGGGGCGCTTGGCACTGATTCCCCACAGATACTGTGGTCTTATTGTAGTATTTATTTATTTATTTATATTTATATTTATATCTCACCCATCTACCCTGTTTCCCTGAAAATAACACAGGGTCTTATATTAATTTTTGCTCCAAAAACCACATTAGGGCTTGTTTTCAGGGGATGTTTTATTTTTTTTCATGTACAACAATCTACATTTATTCAAAACAGTCATCTTTTTCTGGTTGCTGCACAATGGTGGAGGGCAGAGTTTCACTTAACTAGGGCTTATTTTTGGGGCAGGGCTTATATTATTTATTTTTTATTTTTTATTTTATTTATTGCATTTATACCCCACCCATCTAGTCAACTCTACTCTTCTACGGCTTCTATTATGAGCATCCTGAAAAATTCTACTAGGGCTTTCGTCAGGTTAGGTCTTATTTTCGGGGAAACAGGGTAGACCGAAGTCTACTCTGTGTGTAATTTGCTGTATGTGGATGGGAGTACTCAAATATATATGCTAATGTCAATTTCATTGACAGACAGTAAATTCTGTAGCTAATAAACTCATGGATGTGCAGAATGTACCACAAAGAAGTTCTTAGGGTTGTGCAACAATGAACATAATAGTTTATGCAGTAAAAAAAAACCCAGGACGTTCCATGGATGGATGCTGCAAGAATAGATGTGGGGAAAACCGCCTCAGACTCCAAAGCCATCCCATGAGTGCTTTTATTGACAATGGTCATCACACTGCCACAAATGGTATTGCAGTGGGATCAGTGCCCAAAGATAATCAACTAGGCTCTGGCTTGCTTAATATTCCAGGACCTGGGACTGAGTTTCAGCTTTTTTCTGGCTTTGTCATATCCCTGGCAAGTGGATGGGCCACTTCTGAATTTCCGAAGGAAGGCAGCCGCAAGTTCACCTGCTCGGTTTGGCGTCAACTGCTCGGAGGGTTTGACACGCTCTTCTGGTGGGTGGCTCCTCAGCCCATGCAACTCTGATGTTGGTAGGAAGGGGCCTTCCATGGCTTTGACAATGGTCTGTTCTTTTTCCCGGGCTCTTTCCCGCTGTCTTTCCAGCTCACGCTCTCTCTCCCTTTCTCTTTCCCTTTCCCTCTCTCTCTCTTTCTCCCGTTCCCGTTCCAGCTCCTTTTCTCGCTCCCGTTCCCTCTCCCGTTCTCTCTCTCGTTCACGGTCAGCTTCTCGTTCTCGCTCTTTTTCTCGTTCCCTCTGCCTCAGTTCCTCATCCATCTGCAGTCTGGAAAAAAACAACAACAGCAAAACTCACATAAGCCAAAAAAGAGGAACGGGTTCCATTAACACCCCCCCTCCCGCCCCCGTAACAGCCATTATGTTCTGGCAGTCGTTTTATACCTCTCTGCAGTCAGGCTGGAGATGCGTTCGGACTGAAGTGCAGAGAGGGTTGAGTGAGACAGTTCAGTGGGGTACCTCACCCCAGACAAGTGGAGGTGCATAGCTGACGATGGATGGAGGGGCGGGAGTGAACCAGGAGTTGGAATTGGATAGAAAGGCGATCGCAGAGCTGAAAGGCAGTAGGACTCATCCATCCTGGAAAGAGACAGTGTGTTTAGTTTAAGGTAGCTTTCACAGATAAACAGTCTCACTTTATACCAAGAGATGGGTTTGTTATATGGGGAGGGTATCTTGGGACTCAAAATGAGCAGAGTACTCTGGTTTTAGGAGATGGACTTCTACTGTTGCTTCTGCTTCACAACAGGAACTAAAGGAACTGAGCAAAATGGTGGTTTTGCAGACCTCAGATAAGGTGTACAACGAGGTTATGCTTTCTGAAGCCTTGTAGCTTTTGGTAAAGTTTGGACTTTGAAGATATGACATGGGCACTGCCAACCTGATTGCTTTGAAATCAGAATTGCAAGATGTGTAAACCTCTGAGCTAAGCTTTAGTTTTGGAGAGACAGCAGGCTAATCATAGCCTCAATGACAAGACTGGGCATTTTCACACAACACCTAAAATTCATAAAGATAGACACTGAACACATAGCTCTAGTAAGGGTGTCCCAAAACAGAGGCAGCCTGACAATGAAGGCCTAAATTTGGGTCACCACTTACCTATCATGAATAGTGTGTGTGGCCAAGATATCTAAAGATGACCTCCAAAAACGAGCGGGTTCATAGAGACATTCTCAGCCAAACACTTCAGCCTCAAATACATGGCAAACGTGCTAGTCACACCAGAAAAGCTGGCAGAAAATTCTTAGGTTCCCCACAGATTCTCTTAAAGATGTTTGGGTTCCAGCTTCTTTGTCAGTTCTCTGCTCTCCGTGGGTACAGAACATCTTGCTGACCAGGGCATAACAGAAGCTAGGCCAAGGCAGACACGGCTCCACAGGGCCTCATTCAAAGGACGAATTAGTGGACCAGCATGAGAAGTCCTGCTGTTGCTTTAAGTGACCGCCTGTTGTGCTTTATTATAGCCGTGACGAAAGCTTCCAAGAAGCCTCCACTGCAGGCAAGACCTGTTTATTAGCTGTTGTTCCAAAGAGCCGACTTCGGCAACTGCCCAAAGAACTCAATCCCCAAGGCAAGGTCGGCATGGCAAAGTGGCATAGCCTGCCTGCTTCTTACCTGAAGGCAGGGTGAGGAAAAGGATGGTGAGCTAGGTAGCTGGGATGGTAGTAAGCAGCAGCGGTGGCCGGATCCAGGGTGATGGGAGGCAGGGAAGACATGCGGAGCTCCTCAGTAGTATGGTAGGGTCGGAAGCTCCGCAGATAGTCTTCTGTGACGGCGCTGGGAGGCACCACATGGTGGACAGGCCGCTGAAGGCTGCTAAGCAGGGTGGGGTGGGGAGGAAAGGACAAATGAAGTGAGAAAGGATTTGCTGAGTGCAACTGACTTGTGAACTAAATACGGGTGGCCAGTGACTCTAATCTCTGAAGGCACACCACATTGGTACCCAGCCCACACTGATGCAGAGAACAGTTGGTTTCAAAGTACAGGACTCTTCTTTTTTCTGCCACAGACTAACACAGCTAAGGTCCACAGAGAAACAAAATAATAGATAAAAATAATAAAAGAATAACTTCCTCTTCGCCGATGATGCAGCTGTTGTTGCCCACTCTGCTGAAGACCTCCAACAACTTATGAATCACTTTAGCAAGGCCTGCCAAGACTTTGGACTAACAATGAGCCTGAAGAAAACGCAAGTCATGGGCCAGGGCGTGGTCCCACCTCCCTCTATTACTATCTCCACGCAAGAATTGGAGGTTGTTCATGACTTTGTGTACCTTGGCTCAACGATCTCTGACACCCTCTCCTTAGATGTCAAGCTGGATAAACGCATTGGAAAAGCAGCTGCCATGTTCTCTAGACTCACAGAGTATGGCTTAATAAGCTGACGGCATACACCAAAATCCATAGAGCCTATAGGTCTATATAGCCTGTGTCCTGAGTACACTCCTGTACTGCAGTGAGTCCTGGACCCTTTGTGCACAGCAGGAGAGGAAGCTGAACACCTTCCATATGCGTTGCCTCCGACACATTTTTGGTATCACCTGGCAGGACAAAGTTCCAAATAGAGTAGTCCTAGAATGAGCTGGAATTTTTAGCATGTATACATTACTGAAACAGCGATGTCTATGTTGGCTTGGGCATGTCGTGAGAATGGCTGATGGTCGGATTCCAAAAGACCTCCTGTATGAAGGATTAGTGCAGGGAAAGCGCCCCAGAGGGAGACCACAGCTGCGATACAAGGATATCTGCAAGCGGAATCTGAAGACCTTATGAATGGACCTCAACAGATGGGAAACCTTGACATCTGAGCGCTCAGCTTGGAGGCAGGCTTTGCATCATGGCCTCTCCCAATTTGAAGAGACCCTTGTCCAGCAGGTCAAGGCAAAGAGGCAGTCTCGAAACCAGCCAAATCAGGGAGCTGGACAGGGGACAGATTGTATTTATCTTCCGTGTGGAAGGGATTGTCATTCTTGAATTGGCCTTCTCAGCCACACTAGACATTGTTCCAAGTCCTCCATTCAGAGCACATTAACATAGTCTCTCGAGACTGAAGGATGCCTAATCTAACTTTGGTTAGTGCCAAAATACTAATTGGGGCCATTTCACCCTCCAAACTGCTATAAGATGCTCTGTAGTCAAGGTTGTCCCCTTTTTCATAGAAGACTGAAGCTGTAGCAAGTGGCTAACTATTGAACACACTGACCAATACATTCAGTGCTACACCACTTCATGAATCTCTTGCTTAGCTCTCCTTCCTTTGTGTTATAGCAAGAATCCAGGTTAAGGGGCAGGGGAATAAACTGCAGTATGGCTGTTCCTCTACCGCAGGGATTCAAAACATTTTCAGCCTCAAGGGGCCTCGGTGGGGGTTGCCCAGGTGTATATGGACACATATACACTCTCAACACACTCTCCAAATCAGACCCTGGGGAGGGGGAGAAGAGAAGGTTAAAGCCTCTGATTCAGGCTGAGAATGGTGTTCTGTTGCTGTTAGTAATGGGAAAACAGAATCGAGGCAGCATAGTTAAAACCTCTTTTCCGTACCACAGTGATCCCAAACAAAGTTGTGGTCCTGTACAAAGAACACTGGAAGAACAACCATTTTTGTGCTGGCCAGCTGGTATTACACCCCTGCATCTGCAAAAGGACTTCTGGAAGTACTTACTATACATGGTTTAAGAGTTATGATGCAGAACAGCTCTTAGAGAAAGCCAAGCACATGGTAGAGAAGGAATAAGCACTGAAGAAACTGCTATTCTGGAGAGAAGGAGTTGATGCTCTAGTAGTTATCCATTGCTTGCCATCCTCATGAATTCTCAACAGCATCACTTACTTGAGAGGTGGGAAGCGGGAGTCCTGAATGATGGAGTTAGGTGGTATCCCAAAAGAATAAGGTGCCCCCAGCAAGTGAGAAGGTACTGTTGGGCCACTGGCTTTCTCCTGGGGTAACGGTGCCTCGGCAATCAGGCGGTCCCTGTTACTGCTGCTGTTTCCACCACTGCTTCTTGACCCAGCTTCTTGCTAAGGAGGAAAAAGAGCACAATTACAAACAACTACACTCCTGCAGCGTAAAACCCGAAGGGTCATGGAAAACTGGAGGGCTCAGAAAGAATAGATGGGTGCCATGGCGAACAGAAGTTCAGCACTATCTGCTGTTGTGAAAGGTTGCTGATCCACTTCCCATTCTTTCATTCAGTTACAGAGAATATGCAGCCCGTGTTTCAAGTCAGGAATGACACCACTCACAGTTCATACAATAATTCTGGCATGACTGGCAACAGTGTTGTTGCAAGACAAAGAACATTTAGGTCTTTTTTGATCTGCAAAGTGCTTTATAATCTGTATTATGCCAACCTGTGTTGCCGTCTCCTATTCCCATTTGATAAATAGGGGGATCAGTGCTGTTTCGAGGCCACATAAGCAATCTGTGGTGTGGGTGGAATCAAAATTCTGATAGTCGGAAGGTGTGACTTTCAGTGGTTAGTTGAACACAGGGGGGACTCACTTCCATGAAACACTCAAGAGGACTGCGTTGTCAGGAATGTTTCCACATGCAAGCAATAAATAGCTTTTGAACTGCTGTCTCACTATTTTGATCAAGTGGAAGAAAAGGAGAGGAGAGGAACCTTTCATGCAAATGAATACTGTTGACAGTGATGACATATGAGACATTAATCAAAGGTATGAATGATAGGGATATTATTTCTGCCCTGCCATACTACAATTTAGGGTTATACAGTCAAATGGATTAGCAGTATAGTTAGGACTGGGTAAAAGTAAACACAGCGTCACACACTGCAACATAATGTTATAACATTTGCTGATACAGAAAGTAGCTTCAAAACTTCAAAAGAGTATTATATAAATTTATGGGGAAAGAAGGGTTTGTCAACAGTTTTTGACAGCTGAACTCTGGATTGCATGTCCTGTTTCTGGGCTCCCCAAAGGCATTTGACTGGAAAGAGGATTCCAATCTAGCAAGGCTCTTCTTTTGAATCTGCAAGGGATCATGTTCTACCACAATGCCAGAGACGTACATTCAATACAGAGTGAGGCTGTCCTTTGTTTAGACCAGCTGTACCTTTCCCTGCCTTCTCCTTGAAACACATACTCTATGCCAACCATTCCTGGACTCAGCCTGGCATCAGCTGGGATGACAGCTGCTCAGATGCCACAATGGATATCCTAGCAATAGTGATGCATGCACAAAGAGCAACGGAGGGCATTAGGAAGCTGGCAGTGCCACTGGAGCAGAGCAGACTGGTCTGTGACCAGTCATTCCCTGAAGTGGCCAACCATGGCATCAGCTGCACAGGCAGCTGCTCTCTCTAGCTGTCACAGCTCTTCTGGCAGCACCAACATAAAAAAGAAAACCAGAAAAGAGGGCAACATCTGGTTGGGCCTTTCTTGGTGGCCTCTCCTAGTGCCCTCAGTACTCACAACAAGCCAGATGCTTTCCGGATGATCATTAAGTAACAAGGCAGGAGGAGAAGACTAAAATCCTGGCCAGACGGAGCAGAACATCCAAAAAGGTGCCTTAAACTAGAAGCTGCATTTTTGGACACCTGTCATATGGGGTATATGAACAATTCCCACTGGCTTCACACTATAAAATGAAAACGACCTCAAAAGCAGCAGACCAAATGAACTACAGCAAATGAACATGTCAAAATGGCTAAATATTTTTAGGAAAGCAAACACAGATGAACAGGGTAAAAGGTGGAAACAATTCACCAGTTATTATCTCCTAGCTGCGCTAGTACAATTCATCAGGAAGGAGTACCAGGGTTGAGAGTTTGAACCTCTCTCCTCCCAGGACAGGGGCCAGACAGAATTTATGGCTAATGGGGGTAAGGTGCCCTGCCATCTGAGCAGCCTTGAGCAAGCTACACAGTTTCAGAAGACCACCAGAGGGAAGGACTGGTAAATCACCTCTGATTACACCATACCCCCCAAAAAAACCCAGAGAGGTATGCTGCAAGTTGTGATCAAGAAGATGTAACATAATTATAATTATTTCCCGGCTGCCTCTTATGAAACCATTAGACTACTGAAGATATAGTAAGTCTGCCCTATCCACATGGATAGGTTCAAGCCCCTCAGTGGACGCCTGAAGCAGTGGATATTAGTTAACCCATTTAAGAAAGCGAGAGGAGGAGGTAAGTGCGTGTGTGCATTGCAGACTGGATTGCAGCAGTGATGTCAATAGAAAACTGAAACCATAAATGCTGACTCTGCACATATGCAGCTCCTATGGTATTAGGTTCATCCAGAGGAGGCAGGCTTTGGCAAAATTTACTTCTGGGACTGCAGCGCATACAGTCTGTCTGACAGTACAGGCAGTGGTCTTGCTGGCTGCAGGATTCTGGGAACGGCCGACTAGAAAAGTAACTTTTCCAAAAGAAAGGAGTATCCCAATCACTGCCAAATTCTTACAGCAGTTCATTTAAAGACACACATTATTAATTTGTCTAATACCACCAAGATGGGGCCAAATAAGCTATTAAAGTGAGTGGAAACAAAAAATCAACCAAGTGAAATGGGGGTGGCTGGACTAGATGGCCTAAACGCCCTCGCCTCCTGCAACTGCAAAAAAGGCTTCTGAAAGCATATGCTGGACTTGGACTTCAACCCTGTCACATCATGCTCAAACACTGCCCATTGCCCCACATCAAATTTAGAAGATTCAAACTGACATCTCAAACAAAAGTCAGAAGGACTTTTATCTACTAGTCCACAGGCAGGATTTTATTTCTGAAATGAGATATACACTGCACAGGCATCGTGAAGAAGATGCTACATGAGACCCCTGAGACTTGACTGGCTCTGGCTGTGTTGCCTGTTTGTTTGCTCTCTAGCAGAAAACTCAGCTAAGGAACTGTCTGACAGCCACAAGTAGCGGTCCTAGTATCCAGGTATAGGTACAAGGAAATATGCTGGCCTGATTGCTCCTCCTCCCATCCCTGGCAAAATGAACTATTAACCACCTAATGGGCCCGTTATGCCTGAAAGGGCTTGTTTGATGGCCTCCTCCGCTCCTCCCTGCTTAATCACTGGAAGGAAATCCCATTTGGTGAACCACTTCCTTTCTGAGGTGCTCCCACATTCCAAGCTGAGCAGCCAAATGCTGACCTGGTCAGGCCACACACTGGTAATATAGGAGTTATTAAGATACCAGCAGTGGCAGCTTCTGTAGAGTCCTCACATTGATTGGGTCCATTTAATGTGTACTTTGCCTGGCAGGGAGCCAAAGGTCTCTTGAAAGCTCTCCCTGGCCCCTTTAAAAGGATAAAAAATTCCAACAACACGGCAACACCTAATGGGTTTGAGGGAGCTGCATGACTGGGTCTGCTCAGCAGCACCCTGGATGCATGCCAAGACATGGGGGGGGGGAGAGAACCAGTTCGTCGATGTTAAATGGAGTCAACACCTGAGTGCTGCAGACCCTTTCCCCAAGTTTTGGCCCTCTCTTTCACATACGGGTACTCTGGATTTGATGCAGACCAACATGTCTTCAAACTTTCAGATTTCTTTTGGGGAGGCAGCAGGTTTCTAACTCTCTAAGGAAAAACCGAGAATATTGTGTAGTGAATACTCGAGTTGGAGGGGTTGCAAAGTCCTGTTAAGCTGTAAAACTGATATCTTCCTACCATCTGCTCTTACAGGGAATCGACACCAAATTTACATGTTCTCTCATTTCCCAGTGCTTGGATATATTAATTATAATGCACCAGCACCACCCAACACCACTGACGTTTGACTTAGAATGCTTTTGCACTTTTTCATAATCCTTCTAAATGTCAGGATTTGAACGCTTAAAGAAAAAAGAATGTACTCAGTCTTAAATTGATAAGTTCTTGCAGCTTTTTTAGTCCCATAAAAATGGTCTGCCACAGTCTTCTGGAATCTCAGTAGATGCTGCCTCAAGGATGAGCATTGGTTTTGCTTGGCTCTGAATAGGCCAGCTCGTTCCTGTTGAAATGGGGCTGCTTTGAGCCATTAAGACTACCTGGCTGTCCATGCTCACAAGCTATCCAGTTCTGCCTTTCCAGGGAGCTCTGATTTCCTAAACTTTTTGCTGTAGCAAACTCCTTTCTCGGGACCTGGTTTCACCTCAGCTTTTCTGCAAGATAGTCACTGCTAACTTATCTCTGCTGTATGGGAAGCCAGGCCAGGGATCAGCTGATGGAACTGCAGCAAGAGACAGCCTGTTAGAGGGGGGAGGGATGCTACAGCTGGGTGGCAAGGAGGAGACAGGTGAAAAGCAAGCAGACTATCATGGGAAGAAAACCTTTACAACACTGACCAGCTGCCAGATCCTCTCTCTAGAAGGGTGCTGTGCACATCAGCAACAGGTGGTGGTCCATCCAAACCTCAGGAATTGTCCGCAAGGGATACGAAGATAAAAGCTTTGACCCCAAAACTTCTTTAACCTTGATTGCCCCCACCTCCCTACCTTGCCCCCAAAGTGCTGAATTGTTATATATATAAACTTCTGGAACTGATGTTTTGTGAAAGTCATGGTCTTCATGCCAGTAGATGCACAGTGGTGGCTAGTACCTATGGTGGGGCAGGAGACACATCAGTCAGTGGTGGCCAGTGGCAGGGGAGAAGGAGATATATAGACAGAAACACACCTGCACAGGCAAACAAAAGCATTCTTACACACAAGAGGGCATCTGCTGGCGATCTGCAGAGGACTAAGCCTGGAAAAGGGTAGTGCCCACTTCCTCCAATGGATGAACCACCACATAGGTCATAGGAGCTAACTGTTGTTCGGCAAGTGCGAAAAGCAGAGAAATTTTGAATTTAGATAGAGGGTGACAGATTTTTCAGTCAAACTGGGAGATGTCCAGAGGGCTGCTCCAGGGATTCAAGCAGTTGTGTTACACAACTCCAACTCAGGGTTTTGCTGCCTGTAAACAACGCAGATAGCATCAAGACACCTGATGGGTCTGGTGCTCTCACTTCCACAGAGAATAAAGGCACTGTTGTGCTTCATGCTTGAACTCTTCACTGTT